CATTAAGGAGCCGACAGCCACAGCTACGTGCAGTTTCTTTCTTACTAATTACACTCCTTCCACTTTCCTTCCCTCCCTCTGGGACAGAGGCTATGCTGAGAAACTCTTAGCCACCCACCTTCTAACTGAAGGTGATGACAGGTCCTCACAGCAGTGGCTCCTTGAGGCAGGCTCTTGGAAAGGCTTCAGCTGCTACCGAGTCTTGAATCCTGCCCCTGCAGTTCCCTCCTTTCTGGGATGATGCTGTCATTTAAAAAAAAGAGGGACAGTCTCTCAGTTGCAAATCCACCTATAGGATTTGTAATAAAGCAATGGATAGTGACTCTGTACAAATTATTTGATGCACAGAATTGACAGCACTGCCAAACAATCCTTCATTGATGCATAACTAATACAAAATGAGTGCATGGCTGGACCGCCAATCCTGAATAGTTATTTCAGCTGGAATTGAACTGAAATACCAGTTGTTCTAACTGCTGAATAATGTAAGAATCTGAGAAAGTTTTCCCCATTATGTAAAAGCAATCAGCTGTTTAATATTTTAATTAGACATTCAAGTGCCTATTGTGTGTCACTATGCCAAGATGCTATTCTTAAGGCAGTAATACACGTTAGGGCTTCCCAGGTGGTGCTAGTGTTAAAGAATCCACTTGGCAGTGCAGGAGATGACAGAGACATAGGTTCGATTCCTGGTCAGGAATATGCTCTGGAGTAGGAAATGGCAACCCACTCCAGTATTCTTGCCTGGAAAATTCCATGGGCAGAAGAGCCTGGAGGCTACAGTCCATGGGTTTGCAAAGAGTTGGACACGACTATGCATGCATGTATGGAATATATGTCATTCCATTATATGTGAATAGTTGTGATTTGTGTTTAAATCTCTTAGAATATTGTTCACTTTTCACAAATGTCAAAACTGAGACAACTACATTTTTACCTTGTCTGGAGTAGAGTCAAATCCCATGATTGGAGTTTTGAGATAAGCCTTTTATTTATATATAGCACTATAGCCTTCATGGATTCCAGGTTAGGGTAATGATCTAGTTTCCCAATCAAAAATGTTTTAGAGTTACCACCGCCATCCGAGTTTCATTAATCCTTATTCTTCCAACTTAACAATATGTTTGAGTGCTAGGAAAGTGCTTGACACCTTATTTTACTAAGTTCTATGCCTTTTCAGAATGTTCATAGCATTAAAATGGTGATGTGGCGGTCATAATGATAAGATGAGACTCAGAAATGAAACTTTCTGCAATAGATCACTGAAATTTGTCATATGACAAGGAGAGGACCTGCAAACTTAGTTGCTTGGCATATTTCAATCTTTAAGAAAAAAGTCAAATTTTACTCGAAAACGTCAGATAAGAAAACTGAATCTGGAAGGTCCTTTTTGAGACAGTCCATTGCAAAGTTTCAGTTCTCAGTTGTTATACTACTGTTGTGGTTTCCTTGAGTTTACCTTGTGAGTCCTAATGCAATTCAGTTGATAATTGGATTACATTTCAGGTAATGCATTCCATGAATATTTTAACATGCATTCTAAGTGTAAGGAACTCTTAAGAAACTGAAATATCTAACTCATATAGTTTTAGACTCCTGACATTTTTTAGTCCCCTTGTTTAATTTTAAATTGGCATGTCTCTACTCAAAACTATAAATCTTTTAAAAGAATTCCTGTGTTTTCCTTCCTTCCCTCTACCCTGAAAGTGAAGCAGCCCAAACAAGCAAACAAAAGTTTCTAAAATATTTGTGGGACTAATGAACAGAAGAACGCGTCCTCTAAGCTCTATTCAGGCCCTGTGGGGTTGGCAGGAGTCACAACACCAGTTCTGGGGGTCAGTGATTCTGTTAATTTTTCCTTAAGTAAAGAGCATGTGCTTAGTTGTGCTCCTACAGTATAGATTATGATGTGACATTTCAACATGAGGACTTGTTTAAAGAAGACTTCTTTGCATTTGCAAAAATGTTGATGGTCTCTGAACTAATCCAGGTCATCTCTGGATGGAAATTTAATTCAAGTATGTCCCCTTCAAATGACTAGATAGTTGGACAATATAAATGGGTTCTCCTTCCTGCTACAGATGCTAATTTGACAAGACTTTTTCTTTCTACTATTTCCCACCCCCAGAAATAAAATGGTATGTGGCGGTAAGAAGATGCATCTCACTGTTTCCTTGCTCCCACAGCTTCTCTGTTTAAAGAAAAAAAAAAAGTGGGGGGCGGGGGGGAGGGGGGAGGATATTAAGTAGGATATTAAGTAGCCCAAAGTAGAATTTAGTTTTTTACTTCTTCCCCTCTGTGTTTTGAACTAGTTAATTTTTCTTTTTCTCCCCAGAGGAGAGAAATGACCAATTTCTCTTTGCTGAAACTGCCAGGCCAATTAATTGACTGATAACCAAAATGGTTTTCTCCTGACATGTTTTGTTTTTTCTCTTCTCTCATTAACCAATCATTTCAACAAAGTATATCTCCAACTGTTAAAAAGTACAGTGCTTATCACAAATGCCACATGACTTCATACACAGAATATGAAAAACATAATCTTTGGTTTTCATATCTTATGATTTAGCTGAATGTGGGCAAATTTAAATGGCAAAGCCTGAAACTCTGAGATGGATCCATCTGTTGACTTGGCCACCAAGTGTTCGAGTATGCCAAGGGAAGGAATTTTGCGATATATCAGAGAAAAATGGATAGATAGATAGTCTTTTATTTATTTATATATATACATATATAAATAACAGATATATGTGTATATATTTTTGCTTAAAAAATTGACTTGTGCAAATTGTTGGGACTGGCCAACTTGATATTTGGAGAGCAGGCCAGCAGGCTGGAAACTCAAAAGGGAGTTAATGTCATAGCTGACAGAATCTTTTTTCCTAGAAAAACTCAGTTTTTTCTTTTTCTGCCCTCCACTGATTGGGTGAACCTCACCTATATTATTGAAGATAATCTCCTTCTACTTAAAGTTCACTGATTGTAGGTGTTAACCACATCTACAAAATATCTTCATAGCAACACCTAGATTAGTGTCTTATTAAATAACTGGGTACTATAGTCTACCTCAGTTGCTACATAAAACTAACCATGTGGCAGGTAGGGTGAAAAACACCCTGGACTCAGATCACACTGCTTCACGCCTCTGTGCTCTTGCAAAAGCTGTAACCATCATCTGGTTGTTACAACAAGCTGTAACCAGCCCTCTCGTGTTGTCTGCTTATTTTCTTTTTTTTTGTCTGCTTATTTTCTGAAGAAGTTTCCTTGTACTCATTCAGATTTCACCCACTTAGTAAAATATGGGCCATAGAGATGGAAAGAAGTTAGAAGATTGAAGAGTTATTTAGGAGGGAGAATCAACAGGACTTTGTAACTGATGGATTTTGAAAGTGAGATATGGAAAGAGAATGTGAGATAATAGCCAGGTGCCGGCCTTGGGCAAGGTAACTGGTGGTTATTCACTGCTGCAGAAAGTAGAGGAGGAAAATAGATTTGGCTGAGAAAGGATCATTTAAGTTTGGGAACATTGAGTTTGAATTGTCTGTGAGTCATGGTGAAAATGTGTAGGTGAAAGATTGTGCTTAGGTCAGAGATCTAAACAAAGCATACAGATCTGGACTGTGTCTTATGTAAATGAGAGTGGAAACTATGGGAATGGAAGAGGTCACACAAGAAATTACATGGAGTGAGAAGAAGACCAAGGGGCAGAATCCTGGGGAAACATCAACATTGTGGAAACAAGTAGAGAGACGGGCCAGTGAAGGAAACTGAGAAAGAATTGTCAGAGTAGACGGAAACCAGAGAATTTCGTCAAGGCAACCAGTCAGGGTCCGATGGAGCAGACACATCACATCAGATAAGGTCAGCGTGCTGTGTGTTAGAATTAATAACAAGGTCATCAGTGATCCTGGAGAGAATATTTTCAGTGAAATGGGGCTGAAGGCTAGAGAGCAGCATGATGAAGACTAGATAGGAAGTCAGGACAAGGCAGCCGCAAATGTAGACAAACCTTCCATTGACCAGACCCATCCTCCTGTATAAACAAAGAGATTGGTTCTTGGATTCTAGCAGTCTGGATTCAACTGGGAGATTTAAGCCTCACAATAATTTAAACAGGGTTAGTTTAACATAAAGAATGATTAATCTGTGATAGTAGAGTAATTTTGTATATAAGAATACTCTTTATGATATCCTGGGGCCAAAGGAGATGGACAAACTTGGGGAGGGGGCCCTTTCCCTGAGGCTGCAGTTCATCTCTCATTGGAGAAATATGTATTTGAACCCACTGGATGGCAGGGAAGTTGGCTGATTTGCTGCCCAGAGCTGGTCCTCAGTCAAAGATGAGCAGTACGACTCTCTGGAGCGCCACCAGGGCTGGCAAGCTACAGCTGGTCACCAGTGCATGGGTGTGCAGTGCAGTAGGAGTGGGATGCCCGGCCTCCTGCAGCCCAGGTGGAGTCCTGCTGTCACTATGGAGGGGATGTGTAGTTGGGAGTAGCAGAGTGTCAAGAGAACTGTGGGAAGCACCCCTGGGGAGGTGAGTGAGTGCAAACAATCAGGGAATCAATGCCAACAGGAAGCCCAAAGTCTCTATGAAGAGGACAGCACAGAGATGACCCTCAGGGCACTGTGTCCTTGAAGGATAGTGCTTCTAGGTGAATGGCTAGGGCCAAGTACCACCAGATGTCCTTAGCACACTTAATCCACCGTGCCACAGTCAGAAACCACCAGAGAGCGCCTTCCTCCTGCAGTGCTGCTCCAGATGCTCTAATGAGAGAGCTTAACATCATGTTCACTCGAACAGACAAATGCTTAAAGCAATTCCATCCACTGTCAGAGAGCATCTATTTTAAGGGTGAGTTGGAGCTGAGAGGCAATCAGTTTATAGGGGCACAGACTCCAGGCTCCTTGCTACTTTGTTTAATAAAGACCTTTCTTTTCATCTCCAGTAAAGATGAATGAGATTGATTAGGAAAATAGATCTGGCAGGGAAAGGATCTTCCCTGATGGTCCAGTGGTTAAGATATTGCACTCACAATGCAGGGGGCCCAGGTTTGATCCCTTGTCAGGGAACTAGATCCCACATACTGCAGCTAAGGGTTCGTGTGCCACAACTAAAGATCCTGCATGCTGCAATGAATGTTGAAGATCCCTTGTCCCACAACTGAGACCCAGAGCAGCCAAATAAATATCTTAAAAAAAAAAAAAGATGAATGAGATTGAATTGAGGAAGCTTGAAAGATCACAAATTTTTAGCAGTTCCACTTTGCAGAGTGGTTTGCTTTTTCAGCAGTTTTAAGATACTTAAAAGTATAAGATACTCCAGTATAAAATAGAGAATACAGATAAAGCAATGATCTGGATTTGGGTTTTTCAGGTTGGGGTAATAAGGGAGATAGTGAGCTGTGTACCAGAGTCTTCTATGAGAGAGAGGAAGCCTGCATGTGTGCGTGCTAAGTCACTTCAGTTGAGTCCAACTCTATAGCACTATGGCCTGTAGCCCACCAGGCTCCTCTGTCCATGGGAATTCTCCAGGCAAGAATACTGGAGTGGGTTGCCATGCCCATCTCCAAGGGATCTTCCCAACCCAGGAATTGAACCTGTGTCTCTCATGTCTCCTGTATTGGCAAGTGGGTTCTTTACCACTAGTGCCACCTGGTGCTTACAGGAAACAGTAAAGGACCGAGAAAGGATGGAAAGGGGACAGTGAAGTAACAGACTCAAGAAGGAGAGACTTTTCCTGAGGGGTAGAACGTGCAGTTTGGAAACAACTGAGGGAAGCCAGGAGAAGGCCAGGTCCTTCTCTAGATCCAAGGGTTTGAAGAGATTGAAGGTGTAAGGGAGTGAGTTAACAATGGAAGAAAGGTCTAGAGACCATAGTCAGGGAAGGGGCTGGTCTCCAGCAGACTGCCTGAGTGGAGGCCTTCCGCAGGAGCGAGAGTGACAGGAGGATGCCCATCCTCTCAGTAGGGTGTGCGCCTGTGTGCCCGGTCACTCAGTGGTGTCTGACTCTTTGTGACCCCATGGACTGTAGCCCGCCAGGCTCCTCTGTCCTTGGAATTTTCCCGGCAAGAATATTGGAGTGGGTTGCCGTTTCATACTCCAGGGGAGGAAATGGCAACCCACTCCAGTACAGTTGAGATAAAAATGAAATGACAGTGACTCACCTCAAATGTCCTCACTTTGTCCCAAGTCTTTTATAAATCAGAAGTGGTCTCAGCGATGTGATGAGGGCTTGCAAGATCACAGAGAGGGTCCATTCAGGCAGGGCTTTCTCAGTGTTCAGGGGAGTGATCAGGGTCCTGATTAAGGATCTAGGATGTTTGCGAAATTTTTATTTAATTATTTGTTTTTACCTTAGATTTTCTTCAGTATAAGAATAATATAACTACATTGTAGAAAATTTGGAAAGTGAGAAATAAAGGAAAAAAATAATAATTCCCATCCTAATATAACAATTCAAAATTTCTCCTTTTAGGGCTTTTTTTCCCCACATACATTAAAAAATATTTTTATTCTCTTAATGATACACAGTTTTGTATCTTTTTACCAAACAAATCATAAGCATTCTTCATGTGATTGCATAGTCTTCACAAGTATAATTTTAAAGGTTTGCATAATAGCTCATTTGTTAGATGCCTTCTCATTAATTTATTTCTCTGTCATTGGGCTGATTCTTTTTTAGAATTGTTAACAAGTTGCTCAATGAACTATGATTTGTGACTGTGACTGCATATGACTGCTCATTCATTTTTGTGCCAGAGTCAGCACATCTTAAATTCTGGTTTCAAAATCATAGCTATTCATTAAGTTTCCCAGGCTACATTTCGAATTCAATATATCTTTGATGACATCATGGTGGAATGTCTTTTGTTCAAGAGAGAGGTACATAACTCTATCTGATGTTTCTTTGACTCAGCATCAAAGGCTTTTGTGCATTTTTGGTCTTTTATAAATTAGAAGTGAAAGAAGATAAAGGAACTCAATGTCTTTAGAAACAACACATTTCTATAACAGCTATAGATCTGGAAGCTTATCCATTGTGAGCATTTCTCACACTACCCCCATGCCCGCTGTCCCCAGTTCAACTGCGACCACCTCTGTCAGTGATTCAGTTCTCACCTGCATAACTGTATAAAATATTAGACTAAAATATTAGGCTAAATGTGTTTTGCGATGGATTTTAGTTACCAACAAGCCAGTCGTTGAGGAGCCTGGCTATTCTTACAGTAGAACAAAAGAGGAAGGCCAGGAACAAGGATTCAAGGAAACCTGAAGAAATCTGTGCTCAGTCAGTGAACCCTAAGGTGTTTGCTCTCTGGGTCTAGGGACAGGATTAATCTCAGAATCTGGAATGGTGTCATGCTCTAAGGTTGGGGTTAAGTGGTCTTACCTATAAAGGTTAGAGAAATGCAGGGAAATAGAACCAAGTAGCTGCCCTTCCATTATCACTATAAAACCAGAGTTTGGTTGCCGGTGTGCTGAAGCTGACTGGTACGAGTTCCCAAGAGCTGATTGTTCAATTTTTAGGAATTTTGCAGCTGGTTGACTCATATTGGTTGTTTGAAATCAGTTGTCATAGAAGTATTTATATCATAAAAATGACCATCACAGATTTAAACCGCAGAAGTGCTATAAATCAGATTCCAGAGATCTGGTGTTAGACATACATCAGCATGTCTCTGACACTACCTCCATCTTTATCAATAGGCAGCTTCACATCTTTTCTTCTGGTTGAAGAGTCAATCTTTGTGAACCTCAGTTTTTTCATCTATAAAATGTGAAATCCTGAATTTATATCTGACAGAGATTTTAGAAATTATTTAGTCCAACCTTTTTACTTCACTAATGGTATTAACTCTGACTAGAAAGTGGTAAATTTTTTTCCTCACAGACAGAAGCCATGGATCCTGGTAGGATAATAAGCACGACCCGCTCAGTCTGAAGCAGGACTCTTGGCAGTCAAGTGCTGCAGAGCTTTTCATGGTGATGGGATAAGCAGCACTCAGAGCCCAGGTGGGCCAGTGGAACCAGAGGACGGTTGGTCCATCATTCCAGGAAGAAGCAGGTGAGTTCTTGTGATTTTATGGATTACGGTGATAGACTGAGGTGGGGAAAGAAAAAGTCCTAACCCAGGTCAAAATCAGGGTTTCATTTAAACAGGTCAGACAATCGCCTGACAAAGTACAGGTGGTAGGACAATAGATACCAGAGAAAACAAAACAAACCTGTTTTTCAGAAATTGATGCTTTGGTTCAAGGGGAAAAATCTAATCATTGATAGCACTGGAGAATCCAGGCTCTTCTTCAAACTGCCTAGCACACACACTGCCCACACAATATCAAAGTGTGGTATTTGCCACTATAATCTTCTAGAATGGAAAGTCCACAGTAGACTTTATCTTGATGAGATAGAACCTTCGTAAATGGTCTTGGTTCCTTGTCCAAAAAGACCCTTGAAAGACATGATAGGAAAAAAAATGGGGAGACCTCATTTTCCCCTTAGATTCTTCTCTTCTTTTTATGATGTTAACCTCTCCTTCCAAATTTTCTTTGTTCCAATTGCTATTGCGGTTAATTTGATTGCAGAAACTCATCTCAGAATTGGCTTGCTGCCTGAAGACCAGACTGTATAAATGAGTTGACTAGCCTTTCTTTACATGTGAGCTATCAAAAGAGCAATTAAATCATGTTTAGACTGAGCAATTAAAAACAATAAATCTCTTGTCATTTAAGTAGAATTTTCAGGTGAAGGAATAGAACACCCTAATCAGATAAGGACTGGCAACAAGTTAGAAATCTGGTCTCTGAAGAACAGGTGCTGATGGGGAGACAGTTCACATGAACTTGATTAGGAGTTGGAGCCACTTAGGCGTCAGCATGAGAGCGCATTAGTGGGAACTGGAGTTTTTATTTCAGAGCAAGATTCTCCAGTCACCTTAGTGAGAAACAGCATTACTCTAAGAACATAGGATGACAATGACTCATCACATAGTGTGGATTTGGGGGAACAGCATGAGCTATGTTATTGCAGAGGAATTGGTTTAGAATAGTCTCATTTTTCTGGGTGGTGCTAGTGGTAAAGAAGCCGCCTGTCAATGCAGGAGATGTAAGAGATATGGGGTCCCTGGGTCAGGAAGATCCCCTGGAGGAGGGCATGGCAACCCACTCCAGTATTCTTGCCTGGAGAATCCCATGGACAGAGGAGCCTCGGGAGCTACAGTCCATAGGGTCACAGAGTCGGACACGATTGAAGCAGATTAGCACACATGCATAGTCTCATTTTTTAGTAACTTAGTAGTGGAAGTGACGTGTCATGTTCACAGATGTCATTAATAATAGCAAATGAATGCTATCCTTCCATGAAACAGGAGTCATTTGCCATAGTTTTGTCATTGAAAGTTCCCTAGTACCCATGTCAGAATTCTCCATCTTACAATTTTGACACAAGGAAGCACCCATAAGTTTCTTTGATATAAAGTTTGTATGTGATTTCTTCAGTGTTGGAAGGTTTCATCATCTCAGTTGTTTTTCCGATGTATCTTAATTTATCCTAATTTTTGCCAGTGTCACTTTTATTTCCTCTCTGTTGCCAAATTTATAGATCATACATTTATTTGAAACTCCATTAATTTCTAATAGGCTTAAATTATCTACATCATGCCAAGTTAAGCAGTATTTGCTAAAATTTATACCTAATATTTTTTTTGAGTTTTAGCTTGTATTAGAGGAAATTTGACTTGCTGAATTTAAATGGTATTTGAGGAAAATTTATTAGACATTTTATAAGCTAAACCATACATCAACTGCATTTTTTTTTTTTTAGAAAACCAATGAGTTTCTCACAGCATTTAACCTTTCTGCATTATGAGGTGCAGGATGCGTTATGCTACTACTGATGTCGTGGATTTACATCACCAGCTTTTCCCTGCAGGGGTATCTACTCACATGTATGCATGACAGAACATGTTTTTCAGCCTATTCAACAATAGAAACAAAATTTTGATTTGTGAGAGTCCCAGAGTGGATGGTGGAGAAGGGGGTGGACTAGGGCCACAAGTTCTATCTTACCAT